TGATCTATTGCTCCAGGGCAAACTCTGCCAACTTGGGTGCAGGCACACCGCCCTCCTATCGAAATTATTGAAGCTCCCCTTTTCTTCTCATCCTCTACCCATTCTTCCCGGTCTGTGGAATCTCTGAAACCTACTACAGCGTTTCGTGGCAGACACCGCCCACCTCGGTACGCGCCACACACACACCGATGGCAGACCACCTCCGTCCTTTGCTAAACACTATTTACCTTTTTACCGGATCCGCTTCTCCATGGAACCAATTCCTTTTTCAATTCAATTCGGCAGACTACGCTCTCTTTAGAGCATGCTCAACATCAACTTTTGACTATCCCCTCCTTCTCTGATCACTACCCACTGTTTTTTTCAGGTTTCTGAGACTTCTCTGTATTGGCTTAAGAAAACTTGAAATGAACACTGCTTATTCAAGGACACGCTCCGCCTTATGCGAGTGGGCTTCCGCCGGTTCATGTACTGGTAAGTGTAAACCTAGTTATACCCATACTTGTTAGTTCAGGTGCTGGAAACACCTTAGATATCCATCTTAAAACATTTCTTTTCTGCTCAATGGACCTTTTCCTAGTAGGGTTGTGCACCATCCCTCGAAGGTACTAGTCATATGCGACAGGGAACGTTTTGATCCAAAGCATCAGCTGTCAACAGAGAAACGCGGCGGCTTGTTGAGGTTGCTCTGGAAAAAAAGCCGGATTACGCTGAAGAGGTGAAGCAGTAATGAAGGCGCACGTATGCTGTAGATACAGGAAGGTTTTATGTATGCAAAGGCATGGTAGCTACACGACACTGACTTTGTCTGTCAACAGAGCTAAGCGTCGGACCTCTCACTTGGAATAGTGGTTTCGAGTATGGCGTGATTTTAACAGAATAGCCAGGCCAGTCTTACAGCCAAGCATCACCGGACGATAACGCAACGGTACCATATATAGAACGCTGCCTTCACACTTCAACCCCTTCCACATCGATACGGAGGTGTTTTTGCTATGTAGGCTTCTGAGTTGCCGTCAAATTCGAATTCTCAGAAAACCGAGATTTCGCCGAACTCTCCCCCACCACCCAAGTAGATGTTGAATAAACACTGATAAAAATCGCATGATTAGGCCTCCCGCCACCACCCGAGTCTATGGAGCTCTCCCTAAGTAAGCTCCAATCGCTTACTCAAAGCAGGCCGAGCGAGAAGACTCACGACCAATGATTTTCGTAGACGTCAAATTTGGGGTGGCTAAAAATACTGATTCATAAAGAGTGATCTGATTGCGGATCCCAAACTCTGCTAGAAGAGTAGTAAAAGTAGTGGTATCCAAGGGAATGTATTTGGCTAGTGTGACTTGGGCGATTTCCTCAGTATAAGTACCCGAAAATGCCAAACGGCGGGAGTTAAAGCCTTCTCCTAACATATAAAAGTAGTGGTAATGCTCATACTCCATCATATTTTTTTTGCCTCAGAGTGTAGCATTCAGCAGTGATCCATTTTGCTGTCAATATATTATGAATGTAGTGACGATTTCACTAGTAGTGAATAGGCCACATTTCCCCTTGTTTCACGTTCAGTATTAGGTGAGATTTTTTATTGTCCTTGTTCGATGAGGGTGGCCGCTCCCTGCTTTTGCTTTAACCCACTCGCGATCTTGCGGGATTTTCTATGTCACACCAATACTAAAGAAAGAACCATCATGGAATCCCGAGAATTACCGGCCTGTCAGTATTACATCCCTTTTCTGCAGAATATTTGAAAAAGTTTTGAAAGAACATATAAATCACCACTTGACAATAAACCATGTTGTTTCAAAACACCAACATGGTTTTGTATCAGGTCGTTCCGTTGAAACTAATATGGTTGAATGTTTGAATGACTGGACTGAGATCCTAGATAACAGGGGGTGTTGTGATGTAATTTATTTCGACTTTGCGAAAGCTTTTGATAGAGTTTCACACAAGAAACTGATTCACAAGTTAGAGGTTCTGAGATTTCATCCACCCGGTGATTACGAAATGGATTTCGAATTATTTGAGTGAGAGAACGTTTCAAGTCAAAATTGAGCAGTCATTTTCTAACGTGAAACGAGTAATTAGTGGTGTGCCTCAAGGAGGTGTATTATCACCAGTACTTTTTAACATTTTTACATCTGAACTTCCAAGCATGATTCAGCAAACAGGTGTCATAGCAAAAGTGTACGCTGATGATATAAAAATCTACAAATCGATATTGAACTCTGAAGACTCTTTAAAGATGCAAAGAGCGATAAACATTATATGAGTGAGCTGGTCTAAGGATTGGCAACTGCCTATATCTCCAACCAAAACGGTACAAATGCGATTAGTAACCGGTGCTACATCATCGATAGACTCTTACTCTATCGAGGGAATACCCCTCTCGGTTGTTGAATCTGTTAGAGACCTTGGTTTTCATTATAATAATAAACTAGACTTTTCTGAACATATTAAAATGAAAGTCAGAACAGCTCACTTACGCATATTTCGAATTTTCAAAGGGCTAACCTCGGCTAATAAGAATGCATTGCTGCATGCCTACAAATCCTACGTGAGACCATTGGTTGAATCTAGCACTACGGTATTCAATACCTCAAAGAAGAAGCACATATATACAATTGAAAAGGTTCAAAATAGTTTCACTCGCAAATTGTTTATAAGAATAGGTGGTTTTGAGTACTCCAACATACCAAATGCAATCAATAGGAATAGCTCTTTGGGTCTGACATCTTTGAAATTTAGGCGCAGAGTTTTTGATCTCTGCTTAGTTCATAAGCTGATACAAGGTCTTTGTTTGTCAGGTTCTACCAATGTCTTCAAGATGACACGTTCGAGAACTAGGGGAGGTTCTATGAAAATCTCCTTAACGCGACCTAAAACTAATCTACGTGCCAAAAGCTTCACGTATAGAGCTGGCAGTGATTATATAAACATCGCAAAGAACATACCGGTTACTCTGTCACAAGCTCAGTTCAAGCATCGTATAGTCACAATACTGAGGAACCAAGAGTCATAGTTTTGTGAGACTGATTCCGAAGTTACCTGTTTTAGTATTTGAGTTTTTTGTTTATAAGCACACTGTTCTTTGTATATGCTCATTCTTTTCCACGTGTGCCTTTTGCAGACGTAATAAACTTATACTTATAAATTACATTTTTAAACTGACTTACCTGTGGAAAATGGAAAAGAAGCGCGCAGTTGAGAACATTAACCGAAAGTAGCCGGATTCAGCACTAAACAGCTGATAAATCTCGATTGATCGACCGCGGCGAGAGCGCAGACGGAAAAGTGGCGAGAGCGCATGGAAAGGCTACGTCGTACTGCTAAGATAGTGTGCATGCGGAGGAATGCAGACGGCAGGATGGATTGCTCTCAGACACTACTCAATCACACCTGCGATCATACCGGCAAACCGTTTCCATGCCCGCGTTGTCGCTGGCCGCAGACGCTGGTACGCGTCTCTGGGAAACCGCCCCCCCCTCAACCGGCTTCGGCATATGGACCCAGGGCCCATTTGCTACGATGAATGCTTATCCGTGATCGCACGTTGATGGGCTGAATATTCGCTATCGCACAATATCTTCAGTCGTGAGATAGTTCACGCAGACGCGCTCAGCGTTAAAGCCAATAAATTGAGGTTCCACTCCACTCAGGCAGGCCTCGACGCGAGGGCGAGGCAGATAGCTGTAACCCGCTTGATTTGGGAATCTACCCCGTTACACATTCACTACTTTTACAGATGGTAAGACACAGGTCCGGAGCCCAGTGCTATTTTTACATATGTGCATGCTTATATTTTTCTATTCTCTGGCCCTACAAGTGAGCGACTCTACTTCCCACTGCAATCTCATATCTATAATCACCATAGTAAGTCCCCACCGGCACCACACAATAGTCCGTACCTCCTAATGGGCAGCCATCGTTCACGCGACCCCCCTTTCTCCCACGAACCCCCTGAGCATGGCCTCGCCCTACCTCCTACGAGACTCACCGCAGACACTCTTCTGATCCCGCCCTCCTTTCCAAATACGCTTCTTTTAACAATTCTCACTCATTTTCTTCTTTCGCTAGACACTGCTGTTGGCGACCCATGACAATACAGTGGTAGTCGATAAGAGAACTACAATGTCAGTATGCGCGAACTAGAGGTGAGTGGCGCAACTCCGGTTTCAAAATCAGCACCTCCAATTATATTGCGCGGGTTCTCTTTGAGCTATGTGTTGGGGCGCCTGCTCGTCAATCGTGGAGTAGCCGGTGGACAGAACGTCTCGGCTCGCGTGTTTTCTCGTAGCAGGTCCGCTGAGTATTGCAGTTAGATGCGCTGGCGCAAATTGTCTGCAGAGACAGCTCAGCGCGTATGTCTTTGTGGGACCATCTCTTAACATACCAGCATTCCGTCAAGCAATCACCTAGAGGGGTACGCAAAGAGTAGACAGTTTTTTCGGCGGTGAAGGTACACACTGCCATTTGTTTCTCCTCGGTTCCTCGGAGCCAGTACTACCGGCACTGTTCTGTGTGGAGAATCGTAGCGAGACCCAACTTCCCTCCCACCCTCCTCGTAAACTCTCGCACTTGCTCCCCTTTCCAAGAAAGCGTTCTCTTTCATGCCGCGGACGAATAGTAGTAAGAAACTGGCAAAATTGAGCGTACCCGCGTGAAGCGGCGTGCTTATCGGTCAAGACATGACCGGGATCCAGCTCGAAAGTCAAGCACTCCTTCTGCCCCCTGCTGGCGCATCCAGACGAGGGCCCTCCGTGGACGGTGAGGGATTGCCGAGGACGGCACGCCCTGGGACCTCATCGGCACCAGAGTCTTATCACAAGGCTGCGGGTGCTAACGTCCGGATCCTCTTCGACAGCGCCGAGAACGGTGGAGTCTTCCACCGTTTTGTGGGCTTCCCAACCTTGTCTTTTCTTTGAAAGCCGTGTCTCCTCCCTCGAAGCCTGCGAACCAGAGCTTGGCACTGATGAATGCTGAAAAAAATCCGTCCTGTCTCTCCTTCCCAGCGGCGATTGCGGATAATGGTTGACGGTTTTCAATGCTCCGGGTATGCCGCGCGCAGACCCGCGCGCTATCCATTCATTGAAGATGATCGCTCGAAAGTGCTCTTGTGGAATCGACATCATGATTAAAGCTAAAGAAGGCAACCCGGCTATATATCCCTACTACGGAGAAGCATGATCGACAGGGATAGTCTATCACGTAGCAGATCATTGTACCCGGTCTCACACTCGAATCAGCATGACGTGCGAAGTTCCCAGAACCTTCATCACGACCAAATCGGCTCATTACTTGTTACATCCCGAAGTAGTAGTCTAAGCGCTCACACACCACCGGCGGGGGCGGGGGCTGGCGGCGTAGACGGTGTGGAGAGGGATCGTCGGACGGCGGGATCTGACTTGTCGACTGTGCTGGTCGGAGTGGTTGGCTTTCGGGACAACGAGAGGGATATTCAGTTATAGGAACATAAAGATTGGTACATTCCTGTAATCTACGTTTGCCCACGAAGCGCTCTCTAATAGTCGCAGACTTTCAACTGCACACGTGTGAGTGACTAGTGTGGAGAAGGGGCCGGAGGGGGAGGGAAGTCAAAGGCGAGAGCTGACCCGCTTTCACGCAGTGGCAACGCCCGAACGCTCTGGTGCCCCAGCGCTGCACTGGGCGTGCAGGGGAGAGGAGGTACACTTCGGGAGCCCAACCCATCGGCCTCACGTCGCTGGCATCGCCGTCACGTCGATGGGCAGCATACGTTTCGTCCTCTACCTTCTCCATATTATTCCGGGCAGGATTCGTCTAAACAACTTTGTAGAATACATATATGTACTTGGGTTGAACTCTGGGTCCTTTTGAGAAGAGGACGATATGAGTATTCTACAAGTATTGTCGGACCGGGGATTAGCTGGGGAATGATGAGGCGGCTGGAGACTGCCGTCATGGCTGTCGCGGAGGGTGAGTGCTGGCACGCGGGAGTGCGTACGCACGCGTTCTATTCGGTGTGGTGGGGATTCCGAGTGTGACACGCCCGATGCACATCGAACTAAGGGTGAGCGAGCCACGACCGCCAATCACCTCACTCAGGCTCTTCCATAAGCTATCGGACCCAATTTTGCCGCTGAACAAGCTTTCACGTGCGATCTGTATTTATTGGCGGAGGGTTCGGAAGGGGAGGCTGCGAGAGAAGGTGATCGAGGGAGAAGAAGCGTTGGGTGTGTGATTTGCAGGGTGTCGTGCGCTGACGCGTGTGAAAGACAGACGTAGTTTTAATTTCTCGAGTTCGATCAATCTCTTACTGTTGGCGACTGGAATGGGGGCTGCGATTGTCAGAGGTGCTATTATCGTGCTCGTTATAGTTTCAAACAAGGTTGGCGGACAGAAAATCAAGCAACAACAGGGGATTCAAATAGGTGGGGGTAACAGCGCGTCCAGTAATGGAAACATTGGATACCGCACTAGAGATGAAAAATGAAAAAAAACAGGCAAAGCTGAACGCTGGAAGCCTCTCAACGCCCCCTCCTCTTTTTCCCGCCCCTCCTCCAACTCGAAATGAAGGAGAGGCGTATCCGAGCGGGTTGTTTGATTTTGCTTCCCACCGATCCGGCATCCTGCGCGTAGTGCATTGAGCCCCTATGTAGTGCATGTCATGAGTGTGTGAGAGCTGTCTCTTCTACTACCCCACATGAACCCTCATTAGCTCTACAAGAGTGCTGGGTTGTGAGCAAAACTTTCGCCTCGTCTGGGGCGCAAGCCAAAAACAACAGTCAACAAACAAAAACAAGTCAAAAACCTCATTAGCTCATTTTGTAAGGCCCTAGCGCTATTGTCCTGCACTTTCTAGCCGCAACAACGGCACAACTGTGATGCTTTGTGGGGTAGCGTATCTTATCCTACTTACTATAAAGCGCTTCGTCTGTCGTTCTGTCTGTCGTTCTGTCTCTGTCTGTCGTTCTGTATGTCTGTCACGAAATTCCCTAGCTCCTCGGGATCCGCCTGGAGGGACCGGGTCAAGTGTGGGATGGGTGGGCAGGGTCTCACGTAATACAAAACACACATCAGCTAAGCGGAGCCCCGCCCACAGAGGGCGTGGCGTGCGTCGAAATGAATTGTACCAAAGACCAAGATTTCGATTTCAGTGACAAAACGACCTCGAAACTGGGCCAAAAAGTGGGTAAGGTGTGCATTGGTAAGTCACATCGAATTAGGGAGACCCACCCCCGGTGGGCGGGGCGTTCTCTAAAAAAGCAGTGCTTTATGAAAAATTTCATAACTCGGTTGGGAGAAAGCCTACAGAGCAGAAAACAATTTGGTGTAAGGGAGCAATGTCTAAGGTGTTTCCTGCATACATGACGTGGGCGGAGGCCCGCCCAGAATGGGCGGGGCGCGCTCTGAAGTGTACAGCATTTTCTACAAGCCCTCATAATTCGGGTCGGGGAAGTCCTAAAGAGCCGGAAAAAGGTGGATAGAGGTGTATGGAGGAGTGGAGGCCAGCTATCAATGGTGGGCGGGGCTTGACCAAAGTGGGCGGAGTTTGCGACGAAAATTTATAACTCGGCTCCATGAAGCTCCGGAGGCTGGGGAAAAGGTGGATAGAGGTGGGTGGAGGAGTGGAGGTTAATGTCATTGGTGGGCGGGGCCTGACCAAAGTGGGCGGAGTTTGCGACGAAAATTTATAACTCGGCTCCATGAAGCTCCGGAGGCTGGGGAAAAGGTGGATAGAGGTGGGTGGAGGAGTGGAGGCCAGCTGTCAATGGTGGGCGGGCTTGACCAAAGTGGGCGGAGTTTGCGACGAAAATTCATGACTTGGCTCCAAGAAGTCCCTGAGGCCGCGGAAAAGGTGGATGGAGGTGGGTGGAGGAGTGGAGGCCAGCTGTCAATGGTGGGAGGGACATGACCAAAGTGGGCGGAGTTTGCGACGAAAATTCATAACTCGGCCCCAAGAAGTCCAGGAGGCTGGGAAAAGAGGTTGGCGAAGGAAAGGAGGTCAAATGCTATTAGTGGGTAGAGCACGCACCCAAGTGGGCGGAGTTTGCCAAAAGTGTCGTAATTTGGTTCCAAGAGGTCCCAGAGACCGGTGAAAAAGGGGGTAGAGGTCGGCGAAAAGAAGGGAGCCAAATGCTATTGGTCGGCAGGGCACGCACCGAAGTAGACGGAGTTCGCCACGAGATTTATTGTCCGGGCCGAGGACCGAGAAAAATAGGATAATGGTTGACGAAGAAAGAGCGCATAGAATTTAGCGGAGAATTCAGATATTCGTATTGTATCAAGCCAAATTTGAAATTTTTCGTCGCACCATCAAAATTCGCCACAGATCTGTGTTGCGCGCGCAATGCGTGCGGCGCCAACTGGTTTATAATATGATAGTTCAACAAGGACCTCATTCCGTGAGGTGTTTCTTAAAGTCAAGCCGATTTTGAAGATTTTTGATTTTGAAGAACAGTGTGTGACTAGCTTGTTATTCACCCCTGCCGACAAGGAATGTGGAACATTGACAATTTCGTGCAGTAATAACAAGTGTTTCGAAAAGTGGCTTCATGTGTGGGCGACTATGTTCGCACGGCTGGGGCTGTAGCTGCCAATATGGATGGAGTCGGGGAGGGGGGGAGGGAGGAGGAGGAGCTTGGGAGATAGGTTGGGTGCGAGTGCGATGTGATTGATTGGTTTGAACGCGTGGGGTAAGAGTGCACTTGGTGTACACGTAGTGGACGTGTTTGCAAATGTGACACAAGGTCGAAGATGTGTAGAGTTGGTAGAATTGAAGATGAATAGATCTGTAGTGTTGTATTACAGTAGCTTAGAAACTTCGAATAGTTTCAGGTCAAAGTGTTTGTCGAGGAAACAATGCGAAAAGGAGTACAAGGACTGATCGCGGAATTCAGAGGCATGAAACGCGTCAACGATTTCTCAAAGATGACGGAATTCGTTGCACAAATACCAGAAGGCAGGAATAGATATAAAGTATGCTGCAATCATTGAGCAGTCACTTTGAGCGACGTCTCAGTACTTGGGCATAGACTTGAGATGGTAACGTCCGTTATCGGACACCCCGCTTTGTAGCAAGGTTTTTCTTGCTTCAGTTTTAAAAATTCTCTGGATCCTGTTTAACCTATTCGCGACAATGTCAGCCACCGGTGGCTGACGGCAAATGGAGGTTTTTAAGAGATTTTCTTTGCTGTGAAGAATCTTCATACCCTCATCTATCTAGGCGCACCCCTGGGCAGAGGAAATATCTATCCAATAGAATTTTATTGAAGAAAAAATATTCTGACTTCAAAATTTCAATCCGGAAAAGTTGAAAATTTTTTCCGCTGAAACTTTTCCCATGGGGTTTTCGAGGGTCCTGATCTCAAATATGATATCCATTTTTAGCGCTGGCGCCAAATTGGCGCCATTTGGCGCCAGTTGCGTGCCAAGGGTGTCTTCACCAAATTCGCTGTAAACTTGCGTATGGGGATCATTTAAAAGCCCTGATAAACGAATATGACATTCGTTTCAGTCGTTGGGGCTATTTAGCACCTTGACGACAGCGCGGCAACTAGGTTTGCCGCGTTTTGCACGCCGCAATGGACATTGTGGCAACTATAGTTGCCACACCCTTTACATTCAGTTTTTTCTTGAACGCGCCATTTCTTCCCAGGTTTTTTGTGTTCATTTTTTAGGCCATACCACAACATAACCAAGAACCACGCGGCTTATAGAATGACCAAATATTCTTTAGTTTGGCAGAGGTTTTTCGGACCGGACGAAAATATCCGTTCAGTTCATTCCTCATTTTCTCTTCATTAACACGAACATGTAGATAAAAAAGAATATTAGAAGTGAGTACAAAGCTACTCGTGGCAAGATATGTGTTTTTACCGAAACAACCACGTCCAAAATAATTTTGAAATCACTAAAGCAAAAGTAAGTGAAACTTGCCTTTTCAATGCTGTAACACATCATTCGACCGCACTTTCACATGTGTACCTTCCAATAAGTTTGACACACCGAATATCAGTGAAAACATTTTGTCGCATCGAAGTATTGCGTATTTAAAGCTCAAAATCCACAGATTTGTTGTGAGGCGGCGGCGCTCGCAGAACCGCTCTGGTCCCACGCGGCCAAAAATGCCAAAACGCGCGATGTCGTCAACATGTTAGTACAGTACTCGCCGTTTGAAATCGAAAATTCACGTGAATAACGCGAATCCTCGTTAATTTCGTGAATTCGTTATACCGAAGATATCTTTGAATTCAGCTCGTCGGACTCTAGTAAGAATGTGCTTTGATACTTTGGAAAAGCTCCATATAGGATTGCGCCATGCACTCGATTTTCATCACAAAAAGTAGTTGTTCGCATGTGATGTGTATATTATCCCGCTGGTATGCGGGATCTGACCGATGCACCACAGAGAAGCGGCCTGCAGAGGACTGTACGTCAAGAATGCGCCAGCGGACTCAATCTGCGAGCCGCACAGGCAGGTGTGTGAGAGGAATTGAATGTGTATTCGAGAATTCGTTTGAGTTGCTTCATTTGCGGTGTTTGCGAGCACTGATTTGCTTTAGTGTTTGCCGCTCTGGCTCAGAGATCCCAGTCTTTGTATATCGAGTGGGAATCCTTGACAGCTCGCAAGAGCATGAGTGGGCCGGTGATGGTAGTTGGACATTTTCCGAGGTTGTCAGAGGGAGATGGTTTTGCAGAAGCGTGGCTGGATGGTTAGCGAGGCAATGTTCGTCTCACTGGATCGGTAGACTGAGCGGTCACTGGGGTGCTGTAAGATGGATATGGGGAAACCTGGGGCAGGTGAGGGTGGGAGTCTGGTGGTTGCCGTTGCGGCTGACCGCCAGAACAATCACCCTTTGTCATTGCTTTGCCCGTCCTCATACCGTGCCAAGTCCATTTTTCAGAGCGGAATTGGTTTTGCTAGGAAAGCCTGTGAATGCGAACGCGAAGAGATTCGCCGTTCACTTGATTCGAACTACTATGGTCACTGTCTGTAGCGGAACTGTAATGGGAGAATGTTAGTGTCGCAATTTGAGCGTTCCTTCCATGGTGTCCAAACATGCCTCCTCGCCCCCCGCCCGCCCCCCGCCTCCTCGTCATGCCCTTGTGGAATGTTCAGATTTTTTGCATTTCCAGATGAACTCGCAGACCTGAAATGTGCCCCGTTAGCTTCCCCGTAAAAAATGCTATCGAATGATATGCATTACTTCCCCAGTTGAAACTTTGGTTTTTCACCGTTTTCAGCCTTCCCCTATTGCCGGATTGGGCACTATCCCACGATTACTGCCCCAAAATCTCAAAGTTTCATTTTTCGTCAAAACTTTGCCTTTGGGGTAATTCGATGCCCTGATTACGAATATGACATTCATTTTCGATATTGGCGCCGGCGCCAATTGGACGATAGACGCCCGTTCGACGTAACGTCGTCTTTTCTCCTACCAAATCTGACCTCGACATCTTGTCACTGTGGGGTTTTATCTTGCGCCGGGCGCCCTGATTACGAAAACGACACCCGTTTTTGGCGCTGGCGCCGTTTGGCGCCAATTTGGCGCTACGGCTGTTTCCACAAAATCCGCTGAAAACGTGGGTATAGGGGTTATTTGGGGTCCTGATCGAATAACATCCACCTCCCTTCTCCTTGTCGCCTGCGCCATTTGGTGTCACAAACAACACTTCGCAGTCAGAGCGTACTCATTAGGGCACCTCTCTCAGCGCGACTGTCTGACGAGCCGTGGAAAAGGTCATCGAATCGGAGACTTTCCCACGACAGGAAGGAGTCAGACCGTGGGAAAGGTCGCCGAATCAGACTTTCCTACGATAGGAAGGAGCCAGACCGTGTGCCGAAAGACCTGTCGAGCTTAAGCTAAGAAGCAATATATTTCCACGGTTTTCACTGGAGATGCCTGTATGCGTTGGGCAGAGCAGCAATTCGACTGTAAGCTCTCCAGCTGCCACTGAGGATGGTAGTACCGTGCTCGATGTACTACTTCATGATGAGCCGCAGTAGAGTTGAAACGTCTTTCCTTCGGACCATCCGAAGGAGTCCACTGGTCTCTCTCTAACTGCACCGTACCAAAACCGCACGTTGCTGCCTGCCCGTCAGCAACGTCCGGCGCGTTGTTTTTTTGCGCGCATCTTGATAACCAGTGTTCGTCCTGTCAATTTCCATCTCGCACCCGAACCTTCCGATGATCGGCGGGTTCCTCCTGAAGTGCCCCACACATACGTCGCGGAAGAACCGCTCCCACTGAATTGAACTGGTGTGGCCGACGTTGAGCTCGTATTCCTTGTCCTTCACCTTGCCCATGTCATGTCGCGCCGAGCCAGAACTAGGGCAGTGCGAACACCGGACTCAGGAAAGTTACAGTTCTCAAACAATAGGAATCCTTTCGGGCAGCATGAACGTAGACCCTGGTCTCGTTCGACGGTCCAGTGCGGCACGCTCGACGATTGCAAATCCAGCCGTTGTGCCGTTCGTCGTTGATCAGGCTCATGGATCGTTGACATGAATGGCATAGTGGCACAGACATCAACCCCATGGATCGCAACCAGTAAGTGCAGATTATTCAACTTGAGCGTCTCGTACACGTCCTTCAAGGCTAAGCCCAGTAGCTCTCATTGACGATTGTGTCGCTAAAGAGTAGCAAGAGCCATCGTTATTCTCCGTTGTCGAAAACGTGAAACATGCTTCTGGCTCCTTCCTGTCGTGGGAAAGTCTCCGATTCGATGACCTTTTCCACGGTCTGACAGTCGGCGCTCTGAGAAAGGTGCCTAAGAGTACGCTCTGACTGTGAAGTGTTGTTTGTGACACCACATGGCGCCGGCGTCAAGACTGGATGTTATATTCGTGATCAGGACGCCAAATAACCCCTATACACACGTTTTCAGCAGATTTGCGATGCAAACGAGCCGTCGGCGCCAAACTATGGGCGGCGCACCAGAAACGCGCGCCCACAATCGGCCACTAGCCAAAGCACTCGCATAGTCCACACCAGGGCCCATCCAATACCCACTAGGGCAACAAGTTCGAGCGACCAAACAATGAACTTCATCGCAATTTTGGGCCGGCATATGCTCTGGATAGCTGCCAATCCGCCCCACCAGGCGGCAAGTTGACAAACCGCTGTCTAAAAACCAACATTGTTCTCAACCTCGGGGGCAGTAATGCGTATCCACTCTTAGCTTTCAATCTTTTTTACCGGGGAAGCTAACGCCGAGCACAAAGTTCACGTTCTGCCCGAGTTCATCTGGAAATGCAAAAAATCTGAACTTTCCACAAGGGCATGACGAGGAGGCATGTTTGGGGCCACACCACGGAAGGAACGCTCACTTGCGACCGAGTTTTCCACATAATTCCTACAGACAAGTGACCATAGTCTACGACAGTGAAGGAAATTCTCTTCGCTTCCTCATGCCTACGCTTCTTACACACACATTCACTCCCTAACTGCTCACGACTCCGGACTCCTGTACACGTAAGTGGAGGGGCACAAGGCATGACAAGGGTGACGTGATGTTTCGGGTCACCACGCACCGAAAAAACCGGCTCACCTATGCGACCAACACAATTTCCCGAATATAGTTCCATTACAAAGGACAAGTCGCACCGTAGATCTACGGACAGTGCCACAGGACTATTGTCGCTCAGCTGTCACCAACCCTTCTCCTGCCACAAAACATCTCCTCCTGAAAATGGAAAATGTCACATAATAGGCCCACTATGTCTGCTGAGAACTGTTCAAAGATTCCACTTGATATATACAGAGGATGGGATATTGAGAGCAGAGGGAAACACGTAAAGCCAGTAAGCGCTTAAAAACGAAATGAAGATCTAAGAATTCGGAAAATAACATTCATCTAATCTCACAATGTAGTGGATGAGATTGAGTACGTGGCGCATTCTGGGGTAAGTTTTGAGGCCCTTCTCTGTGTGTAGCGGTTAGCCCGCATAAGCGGGATTATATACACATCACATGCGAGCAACTACTTTTTGAGATGAAAATCGAGTGCATGGCGCAATCCTATATGGAGCTTTTCCAAAGTATCAAAGCACATTCTTATAGTGTCCGACGAGCTGAATTCAAAGATATCTTCGGATTCTCGAAAGCTCAATTTTGAACCGAGTTATAACGAATTCACGAAATTAACGAGGATTCGCGTTATTCGCGTGAATTTTCGATTTCAAACGGCGAGTACTGTATATATGTTTCCTGCTCGCCTGCACCCTTCCCACTATTGGATCCAATCAGGACTAACAAGGGAAGTCGTTCAGGATGTGGAAAGCTTTTTCGAAACGGTTTTCTGTATGTTATGGGAGCTCATGCGTAGACTACGAAACCGAGGTCCATTTTCGCTGAGCAGATCCCGCGAAGGCCAAAAGCTTTCATATTTTTACCGTAATATGGCGGAAAAAGTTGTTACGCCAGAGGGGCGCCAAATGGCGCCGTAGCGCAAATTTGGCGTGGCAAATGGCGTAAATTTTAGCAATCGGAGAAAATGAATGTCGTTTTCGTAATCAGGGTCTCAAGTGACCCCTATATACAAGTTTTCATATCGAATTCGACGAAATTCAGTCAGGGCGCCATCTGGCGCCAAATGGCGCCAATTTGGCGCCAGCGCCAGAAGTAAATATCATATTCGTGATCAGGGTCTCAAATAACCCCTATATACAAGTTTACATCGAATTTGACGAAATTCAGTCATGGGCGCCATTGGCGCCAGCGCCAGAAATGGATTCCATAATCGTGATCAGGACCCTTGATAACCTTACTAGGAGAAGTTTCAGCGTGAACTACAGGATGAATATATGGAAAAAAAAAACTAAAAAAAACAAGGTGGATTTCTCCTGGGACAAT